GGGGGGGGAGTAAAAATGCATCCTAATATTTGTGTTTCACATTCACATTAGTGGTTAGTGAAGGAAAGACAAGGACAAAGCTTTAGTGCCAGTTTCATATTTGACAGAGGAAAAAAGATATTCTCCATTGCTGTTCCTACTAATCTGCTGAACAACACCTGCATATGAATGGGCAGGTAAGGCGAGCATTGCAGATCTCCGCCACCCAACCTCCTCTTCCCTGACCCCTCACCTCTGCAGTTTATACTGTATTATAAGCAACTGCCTATAATGGACAATGAAAAAAAAAAAAAAAGAACATTTAATTACGATAAATTATATTATTAATGGCAAGTGGAAAGGTCAAGAGCTGTAGAACCTTCCTTTTCTACTCTATCAAAATACTTCTACCCCCCTGTAGTGGACCTTCATCCTGACCACCTCTGGTTCATCAGGATTCTTGTCACTTTCATTACACTAAGGCATTTGTCATATAATCCTGCTTCTCTTTCCAAATTTTTTTTCTACGAGTTGCTTCTCTACCCGACTCCCATCATCAATTCTACCCTCTAAACCTGAGGCATTTTCAGGCGTTATCAAAATTTTGCAGATGCTAATCTACTTTCTGCTACTCCTGCCACTACCTTCCTTACCACCTTGGACATTTTAATGTTGGGTAGTGGTACATTATCTCTTTCTGGTGGCATTGTAATCAACTCAACTTTGTCTTAGCGGGCCTAAAAAAAGCGAAGTTTTTTTTTGAACACTCCCCCAGTTTCTCAAATAGGGTAAGCTTAAATTACATTGATTTTTCTTTTTAAATGTCAGCTGTTTGCCCTAATGCAGAAGGCTGTTAAGTGGAAGAACATCTCTTTCCTTTTAATGGGAGTAAATGCACACTAAGCCCTAAAAGGCAAACTATTCAGTGAAAAACTGCATTTTCTTCTTTTCTGAATTGTAAAAAATAGTGCCAACTGAGCGCAGAAAGGTTGTTAGGTCATGCACATAAAACAGATACCTATTCAGAAAAAAAGTGCTTTCTTTCTACAAAATATGTATCACTTTCAGTGCAGTTCAAGTAATTGTCAAGTCCCGTGACTGAAAAATCAAGAGCTGATCTTAGTTTCTCCGTAGAATTATGCATACGTCTCATGTAATACATCTCAAATAAGGATTATGAATAAATGTTCTGTTCCTGGGACTTGTTTTTTTAATTCAAACTTAACTACAAAGAATTTGCAAAAAGATGTTAACTCTGAGTCTAAAGTAGCATTTTGTGAAAAGCGTCCCTTTTTCTAATACGCTATCCTCTCATTTGCTTCCCCTAAAACATGAAATGACAGCTTGTGTGCTAGTTTTTATACAGGGAGAAGAACTTGCACTTTCCTCTACTGACTTACTGCTACAGGAAGTGGGCAAGTTGTGTCCTAAGTCACTGGGCGGTAGGCAGTACATCCATTGAGGATGATTTTCTGCATTACATTGATTTAAAACTACACCTTTTATAAAAGAATTTCAATACGACCAGGGACAGAAGGAAAGGATTTTTTTGATAGATACGAATACTGACTTTCTTTTCCATCCACTTCAATAAAATCTCCCCCCTTAGTGGGGCTACAATCTATCAAATATAATCCGATGAATGTCACTAACTGAATACAGGTCAATATGAATCAAAAGGAATAACTCGTCATAGAGTACACCAACTAAAAGATAAATATAACCTGTTTTTTTCACCTAGAGAAGGTGCTGTTGACATTCAAAAGGTAGTGAACATAGGGTTTTGACTCAAAGGTGCACCAATTAATTCGGGTAAAAAATCACCACCCAGAACAAAATAGCTTATAGTCAGTGTTCATTCAGTTTTTATTGCGTATGTCTTTTTTGTTTAAATGTATGTAGTGGTGTTTGGATATACACCAAATAAAGTTTTTTTGTTTGACAAAATACAAAAATTGGGTCTGTCCCGATCATCTGTGAACCCTTAGACTGCCTCCCCTTTGAAGGCAGTCCACCTCTTTTTTCTCATATGCTGTTATCAGGTTACTGATACGGTTGACAGACCCCTCTTAAAAGGGTAATTGAACGAGCACGGATCTCCAGGAGTAAAACAATCCCGTTTTTTGTATGGTGCATGGAAACCAATCTGCTTCTATATTTCATTTTCAAATCCTAACTAAAGAGAGCAGCTGATTGGTTGCCATGGGCAACTGCTCTAGATTTTGTCTGCTCCAGTTTTGATAAATTCCTTTCATAGTGTTTAAATGATAATGATTTAAATCACAAAGTCTGAGGAAGCCTAAATTTTATATTTCTGTGAATTGTTTAGAAGTTTGTGTTTTTGCCAAATTCTTTTCTGTTTTGGGAAATGGTTGGGTGCCGTGATGCCTTGGAACCTTATTCAAATTTCCTCCTTGCTTTATGGAAAGAGAACTATATTTACAATGCATAGAATGCTTTGTTGTGATTAGAATGTGTTCAAGGTGCATGGAAGATATTTTGGTTGTGTGGGTTGGATAAATGTAGACTGTTTAATATATTTAAAAAAAGGAAAAAAAAAAAAAAAAAACTAGTAAAAAAATAGAATTACATTTGAATTTGGGGGACAGGAAATATCCTTTCAATAGTTCTGCATTTACACCCAAAATGGCTAGCTGTTTTTAAGGGAATATCTGAATGTACAGAACAATTTCATTGATTCATAATACAAGTTTCTACTGAAGATATATCAAAGATGAAAATTTCCTGGAGTACATGACTGCAGAGAACTAATAGCATAGATTTTAATTTTTTGGGGGCTAAAGGGTACCATGAGGATAAGGAGGTTTAGGTGTTCTATTCAGCAACAAAGGAAGTGGTTTTAGAAGAATTAAACTGACATGAAGGAAACTGGATCTCCAGACTAGAGGCAACAACTACTCCTGGATTCAATTATTGAAACCAATTTAGTTATTTAATAAACTGTGCATATCTTTAAAAGGAGAACTATGAGGTGAGCGCTTTTCACTCACCTCATAGTTCAAGCCGACCTGTGACAATGAGACTGCCACAGGTTGGCTCAGTAGATCGGGAGGTGAGCGAACACATACCGGGTTTGCTCGCATCTCGATCCTGTCACGGCTCTCTGCCATGACAGGATCGAGATGACGGATCCCGTCATCTAAGTCGTGATCCGCTCCGGCTTCTCAGTATACCGCGAGCTGTAGCTCGCGGTATACTGAGCTTAGGGTAACGGGAGGACGCTAGTTTGTGTCCTCCCGTTACCCTAAGGAGAACTATGGGGAAAAACACTGACCCCATAGTTCTCCTTGAAGTATAAATGATAACTAACAGTTTGTAACTATTGATTCTTTCTTGGAGGTTCTGAAATTAGAGTGTCTTGACTTTTTTCTGCAGTCGCAATTAATTGACTTGTTATGGATTGTTGTAGTTAAAATGTATTTAATGTTTTCTGTTGCAGTAAAAAGAGCTGCATCAGACCATGCATAGCAGCGGAAGGGACTACAAATGTCACTTCTAGTTTTTAAATAGGGACAATTAATTATGTTCAGAGACACCATAAGAAAGGAGTAGTTATCAGTTGATTATGGCTGTTGGCCAAACATACCTATAGCTTAACAAGTGTTTGAAAGCAAGCTCTGGGTACACCATTCCCTTCTTCCATTCACGTTTCACCAAAATTAAAACAAGTATTTCAGAAAATGCACACAAATTGTGGCACAGAGGGCAGATATGGGATTGACAACCATCTGTAAACCATGCAGCAGAGAGCAAATTGGATAGATTTGCTGTAAGGTCTGACTTTTTGATTTTTCACCTCCAAAGCCAGTGCAAGAGATTGTACCAATTTTTGATCCAACATAGTAGCTGCCCTTTCAGTTCCCAATAGTTTCCTATAAGAATATAGTATAAAAGAGTAAAGGAAAGTACACAAATTACACTAGCCACTCATGTATATGCCCACCACCTGTGCATGCACTTGTCCAATCTCACCTTAGTTCACCGAACAAGTTGGGCCTCTGGCACTAAAATCTGCTCTAGCTAAAGTGCAGGTACTCTTGGGCAGCCCCCTGCTATGTCTAAATGTTGATGTGGGGGTTGCTAGGTCAATTCTCACACTGCCTTAAAGCTAAACTCCAGGCACACCGCTAAATACACAGATGAAATACATATAGAAGATGTTTTACTTTGATCATCGATTTGTATTCCTATTTACCCAGATCTGATCAGCACTGTCACATAAGAGCAGCCAAGTGGATAGCAACACTTTGAGTTACAGTTAAAGTATACAGTGGTGTCATTTCTACTCCACTCTGCTGACCGGGCAGTGAAAACCAACCGCAAACAACCTATTCTTTGTGCTTACGCTGCTCCCTCCTTCTGCTGGATATTCCATGTGAGCATATTTACTTGCACATGATTGTATCTTAGTGCTGCCCCTCAGTCCTGCAGTCTGGATTAGAGGCTGATATAAAATAAAAATTCAGGTACCGTACTTACACAAGTTACATATATACATTCAAAACTACCCTTTCACAAGTGAAAACAGGTGAAAGATGATTTGTTATAATTTACCAGTCTGGTAGGAAGTGACTTTAGTCTTTGCAAAGCTACAACCACTTCAGGTATCCAATGTTTCCAAGTGTATTGAATGCTGCATCTTTATCCTGTCTGCTGTGCTTCCACTTGCTGGCTGCTATGTCAGTACAGAACACAGTAGTAGTAATAGGGTTTGGCAGATGAAACCACATGGCACAACAGGGAACAGGGCATCTGGCAGAAGTAGAAATGTGTGTTGAATGCACAAGATTCTCCAGTGCCTGTAGCTCTTGAAGGCAGTGAAGATTCTGGGTGCTGGTCAAATGAGAAAAACATAACAGAAAAAAATAAACCACCAATTAAACCATAAACATTGAACAATAAAATAGTAATATTTGTTTGTAAAATTGATTTGAATCATGTATGCATTTTTGGCCAGTGTAGCTACCCTTTGTGTCAACTGTATATGTACCCTGATGTGAACTACATTTTAATGAACAAATTTAATGTAATCTTTTGCTTTTGAAGCGTGTGGACTGCTGAGTCTACGTGTACCCTTGCACAAGCAACTTTCAAAGACAAAACAAACTGTGTCCATAACAGCAATGCAAAACCTGAAAGTATATTAAAATACCCCTGCCTGGAGGTATTGGTAAATCTCAATTTTTCAGAAGACAATTTTATGCTCTATCATACTGAAGAATCTCCAGAATGGAATAACAAGGTAATGGTTATTTGCTTCATCAGTCTGTCCATAGACATTTCTCTGTTGTGTTTGAAACAAGTGAAAGATATAATGGTTTGATAATTTGTATAAGTTACAATATTTAAAATTGATCTTTACTATTTATATAAAATCTTCATTTTACACATAACTACTTAATATGGAGTGCATCAGTGACACCATAAAATCAAACAGCACCATGGGTTTTCTAAAGACAGCGCACATTGGAAATTGTTTCCATTTGGACTAACTGTATGACATTTCAGATTGGAGCTATCTGAACTAAGCAGGGAAGTAGGAGGAGGGGTGAAGGACGGATCACCTTCCTGATCTGGCTCATTCAATTGTATGCTATTGAACACCATTTTATGAGCAAAACAAATAAGGATAACCTATAAAACATGGGGAATGTAGTTTAAAGCTCCATCTGTTGACTGAAATTGATATCACATATTTTTATGCAATATGGAATATTTACCAAGGAAAGAGCAAAATGGTTTACGATTTTCACAATTTGTCATGATAATGATAAATGAAGAAAATACAATACAATGTCTCTATACATTACATTTTAAAAATGTTCTATTTAAAATGTAATGTAAAATGTAGATTTAAACAAATTAACAATTACCATCAAAGCTGTCTGCTGAAATCCTAGCACTAACTTATAATAGACTTAAAATTCATTAAATACAAATTACAGCACAATATGGCAGCTAACAAAACTGAATAGAAAAATTATGGTTAGGTGCAAACTTATCATTATCAATGCAGATATCATTCAACATTTGCATGTCAAAACCAAAAGAAAAAAGGTAATTGATTGCACCTTTCTGTAACATGTGACCACCATTCAATCAATATGACAACATAAAAATAGAGGATTTCTACATGTTTGTTTGCTGAGTGCATAAACAATTGTTCTAAAAATGCTTGCTCTATACTGTGGTCTGAAGGGTTTGGAAATGCTATCCAATATTCTATTGCCTACTTCTTCTAAGGCAAACATAAATACACATGGCCTGGCACTCCATATTACTGTCTGATGTGGTGAAGTGGGGGATTTTCTGACATTATTCACTGCATGTTGCGAGTTGTCCCTGTTGCAGCATATGAGGGAGAAAAGATGCTCATACAAGGATCTAGTTTTCAGTATCCCACTATGGGAAAAAGAACAGCGTTATCAAAGTGTACAATCCCAGACAAGAATTGGATGAAACCAAATTCTGAAAACAATATGAATGGGTACAAGAGCTACTCAATTTGTATTCTTCAAAGATTTTGTCATACAATCGACCTCTGTATGTATCAAAAACGTGTACAAAGAGTGTAGACACTGCTGTTTTATAACACAATATGTATGGGAACACTTCCACACAGCTGACATTTAGACTTTTGGATGGCAGGTTTTATGGTTTGCTTCACAAATACTCTATACACAGAACTGATCAAATGCTTCTCATAATTGTTTATTCTGTGCTGTGCCTTCCATCTATATAAGCAGTGTAAGCTGCCTGTATACATTTGACAAAAAACAAACCATTGCTGTAGTGTCCCCACTACACATTACCCTGTGGCCTGTGTATAGCTTGACATGCAGCTAAACCCTCCTATTCTGCAACCCTCCTATTTTGGGTGAAATTCCAAAACAAAACAGGGTGGGGTGAAACTGAAAAAAACAAAACATGAAAAACATTATATATATATATATATATGTGTGATAGCTCACAAATAGAATGCAAAACAAGTCTGTCCCTACCAGTGATGCTGCCGTAAGGTAGATCTGGGCATTTACTCCAGACATGCACTCAGGATGGCATCATATTGTCTTCTCCTTGGTTCCAAGGTGGAGTCTAGGTCACCGAATGCACTTGTTCTATTCTTCTTGGGCTAGAGGTTGCTACCTACCATAGAAAAACAGCCTGCTTGCTATAAATAGAGATGTATTCTCTTTAGCACCATCCTGTGACCGGTTTTGACATGGCAAGTAGGCAAGGCAATACATCTAAGGATACAGTCTCTTGAGTTGCTAAGGGTGATTGAAGCACACAAATTCACACAAACAGTTAAAGAATGGCTAGGATGATTTTGGACGAGAACCCCCACGTGTAGTGGTCACCCCCGATGGAGCCCTTGGATAAACGGGTCTTCCATAGCCTGTCTAGGGATTTTAGCAACTTGGCTGCCCCAATAGCACTTACCACCCTCTGTGGCGACCAATAAAGTGAGATCCAGACTGTAGATACGATGCTTAAGGAACTTTATTGTAGAACTTCAGGGAGAGAGGTTTAGGACTAGGAACATCCAGGCTGGTGTAGACTCCTTTAACTGTTAGAGCAAAGTAACTGCTGCCTCCAGCACTAGGACCTTTAAGCCAAATGTGGCAATCTGTGTGTAGAGCACCTGGCCAAGTAGTTCTTATATCAGAAGTCACCAATCAGACTCTCCATTTCCGCAGAGACTCACTTTTTAGGTTCCCCATGCCTGTTGAATTTACTCTGTCCTCTTCATCCTTTGTATCAGCCACTGGGCCCCCAGACTCAGGCCTCAGTATGAGCACATGGCTAGTCCCCTAAGTTTCAAGCCTAGTTAACTCAGACAGTCCGTATCGGCCACCCCCCAGGCAGGGCCCAGGGGAGGAAGAGAACCTTACATGTTCTGCCATGAATATTTATGTCCTCTCCCAGCATGCACCACTGGCCATGAACCTCCTAGTGATTGGCCAGGGAGACAGATATTCATAACAATCTCTTGGTTACTGTGCTCTGTGGCAAGGATACACCTAGCAGCATGCAAATGATAACAAATTGCTTAGGAGAAACCAAATGAGCATACACTATAGATCAGCAGACTGATTACAATCTGACAACAACTGGATTTAACTAAGCACTCCTGCTTACAGGGTGCTACTTTGCATAATTCTTTTTTATTATTTTCTTAAAATTTACATACGGATTAGCAAAAACAACAGTGCGGGGGGTTGGGACAAACTATATTACTGCCAGGGGTGCTTTGACAGTTACAGCAAAAGGTTTTAACACAAAATTCATATGAATAAAAGGAAGAATTTTGATATCACACCAAAATCTTTATCAGTGACACTGCTGGGCATGTTGTAAATGTGAAAAAAAGTATAAATAGGGGGGTGGATGAAAGGTTGAGTGTTCTGCGCTATGAAACAGACTGAGAGAGAGAGAGAGAGAGAGAGAGAGAGAGAGAACACAGACAGACAGACAGAGATAGAGAGAGAGAGAGAGAAATGTAAACTGTATTAAAAAGGTACAATAAGCTTAGAGTTCAGGGTCACAGGGCTGCAATCAGGACATAGCAAAGGGCAAACGCGCAATAAGATACAGAAAGGATGGGGTTACAGCCCACGTTTAGGGTGTCCGGTCACTATGCAGCAGGAGAGGGGTCCACACGGGAAGGTATCTAAGCCCCCTCCCCCTCCTTACCTTTACATCCAGCAGCTGTGCTCCACTGCTGCTGGGTTAAAGAAACTTCAGTCAATATTACAAAAAAAAAAAACCTTCTGCGCACACGTGCTCAGGAAGGTACCAAGGGCACAGGGGGGGCCGCAACCTTAAAAACTACACTGCAAATTATACATTAAACTGAAATAAAACAATCTAGCTTGGAGCCCAGACCTCCTTGGCCGCCTGGGCCCCTCACACAAGTACCGGCCATACCCCCCTGATGGCGGTCCTGGCCGGGGACTCTGATCGCGACCCCCTGTTCACTTGCGGGACCCCATATGGGGTCGCGACCCACACTTTAAGAAGCACTGATCTAGGCGGTGGCCCGGGAGATGGTCTGTGGAGCCTCTTCAGCAGATGAGCAGGATCCTGAGCAAGAAGGGTCTGGGGGTCCTGTGACCTGGCCCAGCTGAGGACCACCAGGCAGGTAGACTAACAGGGCAAATGGAAAAAATTAGAGAGCCCTAGCTTAGGTATTTACCTGCTTGATCCTGGGACTGGCCCTGGCAATAAGCACCCCTCCATTCTGGCTCAGCCTCAGCTTAGAGCGCAGACTTCATTCCCAGCAGAGGATAGCAGTGTGGAAGACAGGGTGGCTCCCACTGAGTTGACAGGCTTGCCTGCATGTGTTGAATCCACATGCCGGCACAGCAGGGGGACTAGATTGCTTGGTGCCCAGCACAAAGGGGGTGTGGAGCGAAGGGTCCTATGTACAGGCTCAGGATGGAGGGACAATTTGGGGTAATGTTCTTTGTTGCCGTTTCACGGATGCACGCGTGTTGGGCATCTATTTACTCGTTGTTAGATCATCTTTGAGTATTTTATAAACAAATGGGTATTCTATTGTGTTGGCCACTTAAAAATAAACTTCAGTTTATTTTTTTACTACATTTTTGGGTTTGATAAAGAGTTGCGCTAATATTGTGCAACGTAAGAATTTGCAACTGCCACCATTTTATTCTACAGGGTCTTGGCTTTCAGAAAATATATAATGTTTGGGGTGTTTTAAGTAATTTTCAGGTCTAAAATGTTGATTATAACATGTGTGCAAAGAAGGCAGTGACAGGCAATGAAAGGGTTAAAGACTGCATAAAACATTCTCATATGAGCCCACAGGTTATTTTTCTCTAAGGGCTTGTTCACCCACAGTGTGATCGGACACGTGGCAAAACATTGCCTGCGTTCCGTACCACTGCGAACGCAAAAAAAGAGCAGGCAGCATTTTTTTTGCGTTTGCCTGCATACTGTTCCACTGCAATGTTTTGCCATGCGTCGCACTACGGGTGGGGGGAGTGGCTGCGGTGATATTGACTGTAATGCCCCCTCCAGCCCCAGAACGACAGGGGAAGTTTAGTGAGTGATTGCTGTGCATTCCAGCAGCTACCACTCTGGAACGCACCGCAAATGGTGAGATAAAGCCCTAAAGCTACATGTGATTTTAAGCCTTCAAATGAAGTTCTAGCTACACTTTTAAAAAGTACCACTCTGCCTAAAACATAAGAATTTTTAATTACTGATATCCACAGATATGGGAAAAACCCCAACACTGCTAGCATTTGTTAAATCATTGCAAAGAAAATTATCTTGAAAAGAGGATTTAAGCGAAGGAAAATCTGTTGGTGTCCGATCCCCGGTTCACATTCCAGTTGCCTGATCTGATATGCCTCTTGCACCGCTGTGCGATGGTTTTAAAGCTGTCACTTCTCTTCATTTTAGGGCTTTAAAGCTGTCACTTCTCTTCATTTTAGTGTTATCAGTGATTAATGGCCCTAAAATTAATTGCTCACACTCCCACGTTTGTGGCGATATGTAGCATGTGTGATGTAATCGTTGTTTTCGCACATAGGTATACCCAACGCGTATTTATGTTTATATGTGCGTGCACGCGGGGGTGGGGGAATTACATTTCTTGGGTGTTTTTTAAAATTAAAATTTCAACAATGACAATAAAGCATGTAGCATAACTTGTGAGCAATACAAAAGTCACATAGTTGACATTTTTCAGATACAAAAGTGCAAATGACAAACGATTGAAATGTCAGGACATGAACCACTTACGCAGCATGACGCAAGTTGGAAAGGCAGTGAAATTAAAGGTTGAAAAAACAGAGAAAAAGGACAAATATGTAGGGTTTAAAAGCAAGAGTCTGGTGGCGGGAGGACCCCCCCCTGCTGTAGCATGTCAATCAAAGGGCTGTGATATCAGTAGAAGGGATGTCTGGATGAGCATTTGCTATCCAAGGGTTCCAAACCTTCATAAATTTATTTTGGGTGTCTGAGAACACTGGATAATTTTTCGTAAATGAAAAACGAATCAATTCTACGCCAAACCCCCGCAAAAGGAGATCAGTTGCTTCTTCCATGCTTGTGCTATGGTTTGTTTGGCGGCAAGAAGAACAATTTGTGCCGAGTCTTCGTAATGTTCAGTGTTTAAGGTGTAAAAGTGCAAACCAGGGGTCCCTAGCAACATTCGTGTGAAAAAGGGATTGCAGCAAGCAAAATGTTTTAGTCTTATTTTTTTTTTTAAGAGACTTTCATTTAAAAAAAAAAAAACTTTACTGCTATCACATAGGGGGCTTACACGCCCCTATGTGATTGCCAATATACAATGACAGGTCCTCTTTATGTAGACGTCAGGGGTCTCTAAAACCTCTCACTTTGGGACCACCAAAGAAGCTGATTAAGCAGAGATCTGCTTTACCAGCTTCTTCTCTGGCTATAGCAGCCACAGAAATGACAGTTAAAGGCGGGAGTGACTTAATACACATCGCTCCCGCCTTTAGAGAGAGAGTCCGGCAGCGGGGGGGGGGCATGCTTTTTAGTGTCATACAAGCGATCAGCCAGCTGTAGAGCCGGCTGAATGCTTGTATGTAACAGCCAGTACAGCCGGGTGCAGAAAAAAAAAAAAAATCACGTACATGTACGTCCACCCACTGGGAAGAGGTTGCCTTCTGCCCTTGTGTTCTCAATGAGCGGACGGCAAGTGGTTAATGACTGAAGCACTTTACATTTTTTCTGTGTGATTCTTCCATATTGAATATTGTTTTTTAGAGGACAGATAGGGCTATATATTTATATCACATATGTGGGCTCAATGCTTTCCTTAGAATATAAAAGACATTAGGAAAAAAAACTTAAAGAAAAAACACTTTTCCCCCAGTTTTGATTGTTGTAGCACAGCTAAAATAATTCATGCGTTTGTCCTTTATTTGGAAAGACCTTACATGCCTAGGATTTCATGTTTTTTTTCTGTACTTCTCTGCCTAAAACTGAAAAGCTAACATTTACATTTTTTTTTAAAATAAAAAAAATTAAGCTCAGCTGCAGATTCATTGTGAGGGGTTAATTTTTAGAATATATATTTTTTTTCCCCCACACATTTTAACTTAGTTATTGTTAACAGGGAGAGAAGGGGGGACATGACAAGCCAGTGTTTGTACTGGCTTGTCAATTATAGCAAACAGTGAATGGATGTCACTATGACTGCTTGATAATTGAAATAAAGTTTTGGTTATTATTAGGCTACCCCAAACTCGGGAACAGCCAATAATAACCTTAGCGACACTGAGCCTAAAATGTACTGCAGCATGTTAGGGTCAGATGTCACATGACTGCTGATCATTGTGGCTGGTAGCCCACAACAATCAGAAGCCTGAAATAGGCAGCTTTTGGCTTTTGCTGAATGCTTCTGTGCTGAAGCATTTAGCAAAATGTCAGTACACATTGGGATTTGCTAATCCCGATGTGTACGGCTGCCTAACAGTGATAGGAAGTGTGGTTCACACCGCACTCCTATCACTGTCAGACACCTGCTCGCTGAAAGAGTTTGGGTGTCTGAAACTACTTAATTCTTTCATTAATGGATGCCTCAATAGTGAGAGATCCATTAATGAATGGTAGCCATTGATCTCAGCGGTTACCGGCATTATGGAGCCCTGAATAGCTGCACACATACAGTGTATGTGCGCAGTCATTTGGGCACTTAGTTAGGCGGACATACAATGTACGTCTCCTGTCACCAAGGGGTTCAATCAGGTACCCCACCCCCATATGGATGCGCAAAAATGCATTAGATGCGCCTACACGCAAAAACAACGATTGCACCAATTACGCCGCACATGCTACATATCGCAGCGAACGTTGCAGTGAGCAATAATTCTAGGGTGATAAATCACAGATAACACTAAACTGATAAGCAGTAAAATCTTTTAAAGCGACGCTTGGACAATTTTGGCGATGGTAGTTTTTTTGCTATTGCGTGGGCGCGCACAATTTTAAGGCTTGACATGTTTGGTGTCTATTTATCCAACGTGACCCCGTCTTTTATATTTTACCAAAAAAATTGGGTAATAATAAATGTTTCCTAACATAAAAAGGGAAAACAGTTATTTTTTTTACAAATATTCTGTACTTTTTTCGTTATATAGTAAAAAATAAAAATTCCAGTGGGGATTGAATACCACCAAAAGAAAGCTCTCTGTCCCCAAAAAAATGTATAAAATTTGTTTCAGTACAGCGTTGCATGATGGAATGAATGTCAGTCAAAGTACTGCAGCGCTGAATACTGAAAAATGGGCTGGACAGGAAGGGGGTGTAAACACGGCGGTCAGCAACGCCGATCTGTACGGCTAAAGATTCCCAAGTGTTTTGTTTGTCTTTCATAATATCCTTTTCAGGCTCAATTTACAGTTCCCCTTCTTATTGGTCTCTCTTTCCGCTTTCCTCTGGAAGTCAGGTTCATCTGAATGCCTTCATCTTGGGTCTCATTGGCAAGTAATGACTAAATGGAATACTCTTCATAAGCGGTAATGGATGTGCTAGCTTGTACAACTGTATGGCCCACAGTAGGTTTTGGATACATCTGAATATCTAGGAATAGAATGCATCGCTGGTTACAAATCATGGTAAACTTTAGATTAAATTCATCAGACATTTCAAAAAGCTGTGAAGGTCCTCACCACTACCCATACCATGAACCATCAATGTTCCATAAAAAGTATATGGCACAGGTACATTGGCAAGGCATCATCAGAAAACACCCCACCCCCCAAGTACAGATTGGCATATGATGGGGCACAACAAGTGCCACGCCCTGCACCTGAAGGTAGTAAGGTTTTCTTAACCCAATAGTGACCGACGCAGGTTTTTATTTTTTGTGCAATTCCACATTTTAATATAAAAATTTCCACATCGTGCAATATAAAAATTTTATATTGCACGATATTAGCGCAACTCCTTATAAAACCCCCAAAGTTAATGATAAATGCACTTAAAATGCCCCAAAACACAATAAAATACCCATTTCTTAATAACATATAAAAGATGATGTTACAATGAGTAAATAGATACCCAACATGCACAGGTTAAAAATTGTGTGCGTCCGTGAAACTGCGACAAGTTTCGGTACCCCAAAAAGTCCATAGACGACGCTTTAAAAGCCCCTACAGGTCATCAGTTTAACTATACGTGTAAATATTGGCCATAGAATTATTGCTCTCATATATTTGTCCATATCCTCCTCATGGGCAAAAGCTCCTTATAGGCAAGAGTCCTAATGACAAATCTGTTAGTGGCATAGTGATGGGGCAACAGTGAAAGTGACTGTAAAAATGTAAAGGAAGACAAATGTATAATCTCTCATTTTTTTGGTCTTGTGTTCGCCAAGTGACAACATGCTCCATGCTCCCTCTTGTTATTTTGGTTCCTGCTATATTGTCCAGAAATGTGTTACCTAATAAAGACCAGGAAATAGCTCCAACATCTGTTAAATGATTGTGTATGATCACCAAATGTAGTTACCTCATTATTATTGTTACCCTCTGTATTACCTTGCTGTGTGCAATCAAGTGCCATGAGTGGCCTATCCACTCCTGGATGACACTTATTGTTAGAAGTGTATACTATAAATATAAAGAAAGTAGAGGAAGTAATCACATTTTTTAGTTGTTTGTGTATAGCAACCAGATTTAAAGTGTGTTTTTCTTGGGTATATGATAAGGAAAGCACATAATTTGTTACAACAGGGAACAACTTCTTTAATTTATTCAAAACATGCTGGGTAGACTGAATCTGATTAAAATACACATGTCTACTTTGATATGTTTTAACATTAACTGTACTGTTCTTGTATTTTGCAGTGTTTCTACATACCTGAATGTAAGGAAAACTACACAGAAATCAAAATGCAGATACAAAAAATTGAAAGAGAATTTAACAAATCATCTTCATTTGTTTGCTATTTTGATCCTAAAGGAAGACATAAGAGTATTATTTTAATAAGAAAATTTGGACCCCATAAGATGATTTCATACTTTTTTTGGCCAACATCAATGTTTACTGTTGGACTTTGTGTGGTTATCATTGTTAAAATAAGCCAATATCTTGCCATGATTTCTTTGCAAGCAAACAAAGCACTTGAAATTGGCAAACCGTGATACAACTACACCAGTCACAGTTAGAACACATTCATTTTTGTATCTAAAATATATTCTGTTTCATTAGATACAAGCACAATTTTATATTAGGAAGAGTATGTACAGTGGGAAAATAAGGGATGATAACCAAAAATAAATGAACAAAAAATACAGTATAAACAATGTAATTGTTATGGTAGGTAGGAGGCAAATGTTGTATAATAGTGGCTCGCTAAATACACATTGGGGAGAATTTATCATAGCAATTGCGAGTGTTTGAACTCGCATATGGTCGCACGGTATATATTTGCACCAGATTTATGTTGCTAGTGTAATGTTGTTCATAAATGAGATTAAATAGACTCATGGAAAGAGGAAGACTTGTAACTCCAGGCAAAAAGCTTAAATGTAAGCAGTTGCGAACTATCACAAAACAGGAGCAATCGGGGAAAGTGTCAGCTCTGGTTAAAACAGGCACACATGTTAAAAAGGAGCCACTAAACAGATTTGCCCTTCAAAATAAGAAGAGCATAACAGTCGCAATTGCTTTAATAAATTCCCCCCAGTGTGTGAACAAACAGAGGCTGGTCTACATATTTAACAACATCTTAGATAGTGTAGGAAAGTCACTGGTCTTTAATCAGTATTGGCAATAAATGCAGCTTTATTGCATGCAACGTAAAAGTCTCCTTTAAACAAACAATTTCTGGCAGAACTCAAAAGTAACACAAATAAAAAGGCCTACTCCACCTTAGGAGGCTAACTAAACAGTAGTGTCCTTCACTACGTCCTACTGGAGCGGCTATTCCAGCTTCCAGTATAAATGAACAAAAACCACAGTCCAATACATACAGTTGTTCTGGCAGACCTTATTCCCCAGATATGCAGACACTCTCCAGTCTGTGTCCATCCAGTGCAGCCTGGATCTCACTCTGAGCTCTCTCCCCCTCCCAGCCACTATCAGGTGCAGGCTAATTAATAGATAGAGGAGGTTTACCTGTTGGGCCAGGCTTAACCCTTTCCTAGCCAGGGAAAGCTGCCCTTTTCAACCTCTCACTGACATACACAGAATCGTGTACCCTGTCACAATAGGCATATAGGAATCTAAACCACATTCTATATGTGGAATGTGATTTAAATTTGAATATAATATAGCTTCATGGTAAGACTAAATGGACATTCTATTTTTTAGGCCCCTTTCACACCGGGGTGGTTTGGCCACATGGATTTGGCCATGCGGATCCGCCGACATGAACAATCCCATACATTGCCCCCCGCCACCCCCCGCCCAAATTGCTCCCTGATCCTTTTTTGCCACGCTGATCAATGCGATTTCCATATAGCTTTCAATGGAACCACACTGTTTAAGTGAAACGCAATTAAAAACTCCCAAAACAGCCCTTTTAAAATCTGCGCGGAAACCGCGCTGATCCTCAACCGCCCTGCTGTGAATGGGGCCTAAAGCTAACCTCCGGGATCCTGCTACCTTTGCAATTCCCTTTCCCTAAGCTCTATGGAAACACTGACAACATTTAAATCATAGTGCCTTACTTTGTTTGCACAATTGTCAGCCCCAGTGATGTCATGATGTCCCTTGGAAAAAAGGCCCTGCATCCTGGCTTCCTGGTGTTACTGCTTACTGAGACAGGAGTACATTGGGGAAGTTATGAGACCAGTGGCCAGAAACATAGAGGGCACAGCCTCCATCAGCCAAATAAAATTAATGTGAGGGGACTGAGGCCTGGAAATAGAGAAAAAGACTATGGTATTAACAATGTAGTGCTCAGCCCCGAAGGAGCTGTCAGAATAACCTGTCATCACTAGTCTGTCTAGGGATTTTGGTCTTCAGATGCCACATTAGCATTAACCGCCCTCTTCTAGTACTCACAGAACTGACATCCAAGCTAAAAGTATAATGCTGAAGAACTTTTATTAACATCTTCACACTGGGGAGAGAGGGTATAGAGATCCTAGACATCCAGGGTAGTATAGACAAAGACTCCAGACTCAACAGTCCCTTTTTAGCATCTCAGTGTAGATCCATTTGTAGCACAGTTGAATAGAAAATTGAGTAGGGATGAGCACAGATCCTTAACAGGAGAGACACCAGACTTGCTCCTGAGGTCCACTATGTTCCCGGTACCTCCAGCAGCCATCGACTTCCCAGGTTTTCCTCCCCTAACAACAGCACAGGCCTCCTCCAATACTTGAGGCCTAGCAAAACACTTCCCGCACCCTAGCATCCCCACCCTAGGGTTGCCACCTGTCCGGGGTTCACCCGAACAGTCCGGTTTTAGAGTTCTGTGTCCGGGTGTCAGGCCAGCTGATACCCGGACACAAAACACTATGTGCCGATACCGCCACCTTAAATTTTCTGACATATTCGGCTGCAAGGTCCCCAACAAGCTTCTCACTAAGATCTTATGTTAACAAAAAGTTGTTTCACCCAAATTCACCCAAAATCATGGTGGATGGTGAATAAAGCTGCCATTACTGTTCAACAATAAATGTCGGCTTGTCTATGAGCCGAGGAGTCTGCACTCATGTGGGATACTTGTATGGAGTCCTGTGAACTGCGAGTAATGAGCTGGTGTCAGCCCCTGTGTGGGAGCCACTTTGTGAAGTGCAGCAATGTGTAAAGATACATAGTCGAACGGACTGGCCAGTGAGGGGCTGCCTTGTATCCAATTTGATGTTTACATCAGATCTCAGTGAGAGCGCTGTCAGAATTCTATATGAGCTCTAACAAGCGGGACAAATGGGGACTGTTTACATTAGAAGCTGAATAATGTGGATGTGCCGATCAGGCAGTGATGATAAAAAAGATGTGTACATATGTGCTCATTTGATTAAATTCAGAAAGAAGAAGAAAGGACTTTCTGCGTGTGGACTTAATTGGGTCAGTTTTTTTACATACCGTCAAGGCAGAGGAAGTTGCAACTTGAGTTAATATTCACAATCTGTTCAGTACCAGAGCAATCCTTCATTCAATTGATGTATTTCTATTCACAATTTCAAATGACAGATGATGAGTTGGTTATGTGTGGTTAGCGTGTATGGCTATGTGTGTGTTTTATATTTGACAACATTGTCAAAACCATTTTTATCCGGGGTTTTTTTTTTGATTGTGGTATCATATTTAACTTTTGTATCAATAAAGGTATTTTTTGGTATGAATTGCCACAAGCACCCTTGGTCTGAAAAGTAACTGCTTTTTCCATTTTGTCCTTTGCAAACTCTTTTTAGCTTGTTATATGTTTGTTACTGACTGGGGTAGTTGCAGTGGGGTATTTGAATACAAACACAATTGGGATTTCCAGGTATTTGCTTTTTTATTAATTATCAGAACATGCGTAGCTCACCTGAGAGTGCACACAGCTCACCTGAGAATCCACATAGCCCCGCACACAGCCCACCTGAGAATCTGCATAGCCCACCCAAGTCCGCATAGCCCACTCGAGACACTGCATAGCCCACCTGAGAGCCTGTACAGCCCTGGTGAAAGCCCCACAGGCCAACTGAGAGTCTGTACAGCCCTGGTGAGAGCCCGCAAAGGCCAACTGAGAGCCCACACAGGTCAACTGAGAGTCCGCACAGGCCACCTGAGACCCTGGAGACAGGTGCCACCACGGAACATGACAGAGTGTGTAGCTTCATATTATTATTATAATGTATTACTGTTATTTGTAGATCTCTCCTTACTCCCTCCCCTGGCTGTCTGTTCTTGCTCTTTCTCCTGACTGCCTCTCCTCACTCTCTCTGCTATATTCTCCCCCCCAAAAAAATTGCCGTGTGTGGCGCTAGAGTGTTCGGGTTTCACTTGAAGAAAAGATGGCAACCCTACCCCACCCCCAGGCCTCGGGTTAGCCTGGGGGGCAGGCTAAACAGCACCCCAACCTGGACTAAACCATGGCTGGTCCTGACCTGAGCATATGGATGGTAATTCCCTTCAGTATATATGCACTGTCCCAGCATGCAACACTGGTTGAGAGAGGCCCAGTGATTGGCTGGTGAACTGCACATACACTCACAGCCTCATTGGCTGTCCCACACTTCCGGAGAGTTACACTCCAACCAGGTAGGTACAATCAATGCCAGAACACCTGGAGTTAATGGGATAAAAGCCAACTATAATTCAGCCAGACTGACTACAGCTCTGGCAATCACTAAATGTCTAGTAGCCACCTCACAAAGGGTGATGGGGACTACAAGGACGACAATTATAGGCATGAAGCTCATAGAAACAAACAGACTACAACAGATTCTAGCACACACAACTGTGATAACAATACCAACAGAAGATTGACATCAAATATATATATTCAGCATTATCAGCAGAACCTGGGATTGCATTGCCCAATTGAAAAACTAGCACAAACTGAAGTCCAGGCAAATGGCTAAATACACAAATTAAATGTATGAGATATGTTTAACCTGCCAATGGATTTGTATTTCAGTTCTGAGATTTACACAGCACAGCCTTGTCTAGCTGAAGATGGGACCTGATCTTTCTCAACTGCACTTACACTTTAACTTACAGGGTCTCCTTCTCACCCCCAACCTGTCACTGGACATTGAAAGGAGAAGCAGCAGTTTACAAAGTTTATTTCTCTGTCACTGCTCTCTTCATCTATCAGCATGTCCCTTGAACTGCAGCAGAACTCATTGGCTCCTTCTGCTGCTTCTCCCTTCTGCTCTCTGAGATATGCTGTCCAGGGACTAAAAGAGGCAGATACTAAGTCAATTTAAGGTACTGCTTGCATTCAACCCTTTCACAGCTGCCAACTGATGCCATACGTCATCAGTAGCATGCTCCGTGGAAGTGATTTACAGCCACTCGATCACTTCCATGGGCTGGCAAAGATGTGATCTGCGCTTGATCACCTTCAATAGGCTGCAAAGGTGACATTAGAGGTCCAATATGTTTCCTCAAAGAGGAACTAAAGTGCTATCACATAGGGGGCTTGTGAGCCCCCCTATGTGATAGCAATAAAGTTAAGTTAAAAAAGGTTTAAAAAATAATTTTCTGGAGTCCCATTTAACCACTTGAAGACCAGGGTGTTAAACCCCCTTCCGGGCCAGGTCATTTTTCAGTATTCAGCACTGCGGTACTTTG